AACAACTCATCCCTAAACCTGATGTCATATTTATTTAATTCTATGTTTTCTTCTACTTTGATCACTTTATATTTCACATGTAGGCTGATGTTTCATTTTGATTTAATTTCTGTGATAGTGATAAGGGCCCATATTTAGTTTTTTAGATATTTATCCAGATTGGTGTTTGCTCAGCTTCCTGGATGTGTGGTTTGTATCTGTCAGTAATTATTATTCTTGCATTTATTATTTAAGAGAAAGACAAAGATGGAGACAGATCTGCCATCTACTGGTTCACCCCTAATTGTGTGCAACAGTTGGATCTGGGCCAGGTAGAAGCCAGAAGTTAGGAACTCAGTCCAGGTCTCCTATGTGGGTGGCAGCAACCCAACTTATCTGAGCCAGCACCTGCTGCCTCCTAGGCTGTGCACATTAGCAGGAAGTCGGCACTGGGAATGGAGCCAGGACTCAAACCCAGGGACTCTGATATGGGATGTGGGTATCCCAGGTGGTATCTTTAACAGGCAAAATGCTTGCCCCCCGTCGATAATTTTGGAAAGTTCTCAGCCATTAGTGTTTCAAATATTCTTTTGGCACAGCCCTCCATCCTGCTAATTCAGTTACGCGCTACGTTATACCCTTGGAAATTGTCCCACAGTGTTGAATAATCTGCGTTTCTTTTGTCTTTTTCGATCTACATTTCATTTTCAGAAGTTGCTATTAACATATCATCAACTCACTGATTCATTTCTTAGCTGTTCCCAGTCTAGTCATGAGCTATCAAAAGCCTTGTTTCTTGCTTTTTCTTTTGAAATTTAAAATATTTAAATATCATTTACATTTTTCACAAAATATATTCAAATTTTATACAATATTTTAAAATCTTGTATCTGTTATTTTTGTTTCTAGTAAAGTAAACCCTCTATATCCATGGTTCTATATCCACAGATTCATTCAACCACAGACCAAAATATTTGGAGGAAAAACTGCACTGAATGTGTGCAGACTGTTTTCTTGTCATCGTTCCCTAAACAATATCGTATAAAATCATTTACATGGCATTTACATTTTGCTGGGTGTTTTTAGCCATCTAGAGATGACTTGAAGTGTACAGAAAGATTAGCATGGATTCTTTGCAAATGTCATCCCTTTTTACATAAAAGACTGGAATGTCCCACACTAATCCTGCTCAAACACTAAGGGATGACTGTGTTTCCTTTTGTTTCTTCATTAGAGCTTCCATCTTTCTGCTGAATTACCCAACTGTCTTTGCATATTGTTCATTTTCCTTTGTCATCCTTAACATACTTATCATTGTGCTTAAAATCCCTCCTCTGATCACCTTAGTATTTGTGTCATACAGGAGTCCCGTTCTGAGGTTTCCTTTCATTTCAGACTGTTTTCCCTTTTAGTTGCTTTGTTATTTTTTCTGTAATAAGCCAGAAATAACTTGTAAAATAATAGGAATTGAGGGAACATGCACTTTTAGAGTGGGGATTTGTGTGAGTCTGACTAGTTGGTGGGCTTTATGTCATGCTCTCTATAGCTTTAAGTGTCAGAGGTGTCAAGTTCCTACATAGCTCCTCTTCTTGTCGGGGGCAGCCTTTGGCTGTAATTCACTGTTCCCCAGAGCCCTGTTGGGAAGGGGGCAGTGGAGGGAGGGGAGGTGTCCTACGGTCCTGAGTCAGGGGCCTCCCTTTTCCCGGGCCTTGGTCTGTGGGCTGTGACTTTCACATGTGTTTCCCTGGTCCTATGGCTTTTCTCCCCACACAGGTGAGGACAGAGGCGACAGGGTGCTGGAGTGGGAGGAATGCCATCTCCCCAGAGGAAGAAGTCTCTGACAAAGCCTGGACAGGAGGCTCTTGTTGTGGAGAAGGCTCTGGTGGCCACTTCCCTGGGGTTGCTCCTTCCCTTCTTGCCAGAGCTGGAAGGGAATCTTCCTTGCCTGCTTACAGGAGAACTGGGAGGAAGCATCCACAAGACTGTGGCCTTCAGCCCCTGGCCCTCGGGCTGTTTTCACTCGCTCAGGTTCACACTCAGCAATCAGACATTTCATTAAAACTAGCGTGAAAGCCTCACCCTTAGTTCCTGGCAGATTTTGGCTGCGACTGCAGATTCTGCTGAGGCATTTACCTGTGCCGTCACCCCCTCCTGTGTCCAAGAAGCATCATTGATTTTTCAGTCTGTTGAGTTTCTTTATTTTTTCTTGTATGGGGCTGATTGATTCTAAATGCTACAGTTGGAGCTGAAAACAATTGAGCTTTGATGAGTTTATGGCTCATCTTTTTGAAGAATTTCTAATTCCTTAATCTGAGGATTGGTTGACCAGTTCTAGAAATTTCTCAGTCATTATTTCTTTATATTTTTTCTGCTAATACTTTCTTTGAATTTGTGAATCATTTCATTTTGTGCCCTTTTTATATCTTAAGCATTCACATTTTCCATCTCTTATCACCATGAGCTACGTCATAGGTCATTTTGTGAAATCTGGCTTAATCTTACTGATTATCATTTTTGATATTGTTAATGCATTTAATAATTATTTCCCCCAATATTATTCCTGTGATATGTATTGTATCTGAATTTTGGAGGGTTTATTCTTGTTGGTTTAGCTTTCTGTCTCTCACTCGTAGACAGCTTTTCTCTTATGATATATATTTTATATTTTGTATCAGGAGGACATAATCTCTTTTGTGGTTACTTAGCAAAGGTAAATTTGTGTGTATGTGTATTTTCAGGTTTGTTTATTGCTTTGTCTTTATGCTTCTGTCTGGTGCCTCAGGTTTGCACTGGCCTAGAATGGCCTTTGTATTACTTCCGTGGCTTGCAGAGGTCCCAGGCATTATGAATGATTGGCATTTGAGTTCTCCGGCAGAAGAAAGATCCATGTTTTTTTAATTGATTTTTGTTTTTAAATATATGGTACACCTATTTTTCTCTACTTTTAGCTCAGAGTAAAGCAGACAAACCTTATTTTTGTTTGTATCCACTGGTAGGCTCTTTAAGATCCTCTTCCATGTAGGTGGATGTGGGGTGGTGGCTTTGGTTCAGATCTTCTCCACGTGTGGCCTTGGGAGACCCTGGTCTATGGTCCCACATAGGCAATGTTCCATCCCCTTCTGACTCCCCCTGGGCCCAGCACCCCAACTCCTGTGTCTGCTCATGTACTTAACATCTTCTTTAAAAGATTTCATTTACTTGAGAGGTAGAGTTACAGACAGAGGGAAAGACAGAGTGAAAGGTCTTCCATCTGCTGGTTCACTATCCAGATGGCCACAACAGCTGGAGCTGAGCCGATCTGTAGCTAAGGGACTGGTGTCAGGAGCTTCTTCTGGGTCTCCCATGTGGGTTCAGGGGCCCAAGAACTTGCGCCATCTTCCACTGCTCTCCTAGGCCATGCGCAGAGAGCTGGATTGAAAGAGGAACAGCTGGGACATGAACCAGCACCCATATGGGATGCTGGAGCTGCAGGTGTAGGCTTAGCCTACCAAGACACAGTATTGGTCCCTTAACATCTTTTTATTTCCTGTAAGGTTTGTTTTTGCTTTTAAGGATTTCTCTTGCTTGTGTACCTCCATCTGAATTTAAAAAGACATTTGTGTGTGTGTGTGGTTTTGTTTATTTTTAAAGATTTATTTATTTGAGAGGCAGAGTTACTGACAGAGAAGGATAAACAGAGAGGTCTTCCATCCGCTGGTTCCCTCCCTAAATGGCCACAACGACTTGGCTAGACCATCCGAAGCCAGGAGCCAGGAGCTTGCTCTGGGTCTCCCGTGGGGGTGCAGGGTCCCAAGCACTTGGACCATCTTCCACTGCTTTCTTGGGCCATAAGTAGAGAGCTAGATTGGAAGTGGAGCATCCGGGACTCAAACTGGCACACTTATGGGATGCCAGCACTGCAGGCAGAGGCTTAACTTACTATATCACAACACTGCTCCAAGACATTTATTAAAAATGTATGTTGGCGGGTGTAAAGCCTCTGCCTGCCAGGCCTGTATCCCATGTGGGCACCTTTTGAGTCCCATCTGCTCCACTCCAGCTCCCTGCTGATGTGCCTAGCAATGCAGTGTAAGATGGATGAATGCTTGCGCTCCTGAACCCATGTGGGAGACCCAGAAGAATCTCCTTGGCTCCTGGCTTTGGCCTGATCCATACCTAGCTATTGCAGCCTTTTGGGGAGTGAAATAGCAGATGGAAGATACATCTCTCTGTAACTGTGCCTTATATTTCTCTCTCTGTAACTGTGCCTTTCAAATAAAAATAATCTTAAAATAAAAAAGACATTGTTTGAATTCCCCCAGCATTTCTGGGTGTTCTATGGAGGATGGAATTTGGGTTATGGAATATGCTCTTTTGCTAGGCCCAGAAGCAGGCCTCCTGTGTTTTTCCCAAAAATACATAACTGGTTTCCATGCATTGTGTTTCCCAGTTCTGCTTTCTAGGTGTCTTTGTTTCACCTCTGTGTTCCACTCCTCTAATTGGCCTAATCTCTTTGTGTTTTCTCTGCACAAACCATGGTTATCTCATGTCTTCCATTCACACCAGTGACTCAGTTTTTAGCTGTGTCTGTTTTGTTCCTGTTTCTAACTTATTAACTATGTGGTAGTGTTATTTTTGTTCTCTGTTTATTTAGCTCTGCAGTCTTCTCTCATGTCGTTCTGCTGGTTTATTATCTAATTTTGGAATCGTGTTTTATTGAGTTACACAGTATGAACTTATGAGAATCATGCAATTCTTGTGTGGATGTATTTCTAGAGCGTTCTTTGCATATGAGTTGTATCTGCTTGCCTGCTTTTCTCTCTTTTCTTGTTGCATTTGTTCTGTTTTAAATGTCAGTTATCTCTGTGTGTGTTTTTTTCTTCACTCATTCATAATTATACAAAGTTCTGTAGCTCATCCCAAATTATTGTCTTCTTGTTCATGTTTTATGTGTTATTTCATAGTTTCTGTTTTCTGTAATATCTTGAGGATGTATTATTTTTCATGTTATTCTTCTTGGAGTCATGACTCAATTTATTTTTTTTAGTTTATTAAGCCAATTAATCTATATTATTTGTAAATCAGTGGAAACATAAAATGATAAAGAAAAAACTGCTGCTTCTAAATCTGATTCCTTTCATTTATGTATTTCATCTACTTCCCATTGGTCTTTTAAATGTGCTTGGCAACAGTCCTTCCCTAAGGGCTCTGTTGGGACCTCTCTATCTCTCAGGCAGGTCTATAGAGGACCCTGGTTTTGATGAGACCTGTCACAGCTCATTTTCTGACAGAATTTGATGGAAAAACTCAACAGTGTGACTAAGACATTTTGGGGAGATCTGGCTGTGGGCACAGTTCTTTGCTTATAGTGCTGTTGCATAGAACTTGTTATTTTTGCAGTATTTATTATAAATAGGGAAGGAAATGTGAAGAAAGGGATTCAGTTTAGGATGGTGACTTAAGCATAAATGGAATTTGTTGTTTTTGTCCAGGGATAGTTCAGATGCAGCTTGATTGTGGTCTCCCTGTCCACCCATCCGTGTGTCTAATGTCTAGTATCTAACTCTCCCTCTGCCCCCAGCTCCACTCTACCAGCTCAAGGTTAGTTCTCTTCTCTGATAGACTGTGCTCTCATGATCTACCTCCCGGACTTGGTTCTTCCAGATTGAAGGTGTCTTGGGGGAGAGAAGGAGGCCCTCTCAGGGAAGGGAAGAAGGCCTTCCAGTTGCAGTTAAAAGTGCACCCTTGAACTCCACCTCCCTCCATGGGAAGTGTAGGGAAGCTCTGCAGAGGAGGGGTCCACCCAGCGTTGACCAGACTGGCCCCGGGTCATGGGGCTGCACATCTCCAGCAGAGCTCTGCTTCTCTGGAGCGACCTGGCAATGCACTTTGTCGCCTTTGATATGCCGCTGGGTAGCAGGTTTCTCAGAACAAAGAAAAACCAGTTGGCATTGCCTGGATCAAGGGTGTACCTTCACAGGATACAACTGCCCCTGCCCCCCTAGCCGTTAATCTTCAAGGTGTCACCCTGCCCAGTTTTCTAATTGTCATGTATTTTTCCTGGAATTTTGTCTGCAAAGAATTTTAAAAGTGTGCTCCACTGTGCTGTAATTTTTAAGAAATTGCAAGCCTTTCTCTTTGCATTGCTCCTAAAAACGTTAATTTAACTTTGGTAGTTAAAAACAGAATCTGAGAATTCAGAATCACTCCAGGGAGTTCTAGAGGCAGATGGTTTCCAAGGACTAAAGGCTCTGCCCCAGTGGAGTTCTGAGTAGTATCTACAGTCTCACCCCCTGGGACACTGTCTTAAGGGGCTGCAGCACAGTGCATTTCCTGATTTGTGAGTGTTTAACAGAACTACCGGAAGTGTTACCTATGAACATTTCAGCTGTGATGGAGGCACTCCACATTTAGTACCAAAATAATGGCATTCCTTGGCTACCCCTGCTGAGGTAGCTAGCTGGTGTTAGAGGCAAGTGCCCCAGGCTTGAAGGAGGTGAGTGTCGCGTGGTGTCTTGAAAAGACTCAGCCTGCACACTCATGCATCACAGGACAACTGTCAACCCACTGAGAACATTAAATGTTGACCTCTAGACACTAATCCTTAGCCTAGACTTCAGCTAGAATAGAAGCAACCAGTGCTGGGTGCCACCGCTGCAAGTGGATAATTGCAGGTAGAGAGGAGATGTTGCCACTCGGGCCAGTTCTCTAAGCCTGTTCAGTACGTTTGTATCAGGGAAACTTCCTTCTGGTAATTGGATGGTCGAGAACTTTATTGTGTTTTAGACCCTTTTATTCTTTGTGCTACTGAACAGTCCATGCGGCACATTCTGGGAGGAAGAGAGTGCACACCCTCGTTTCTACAAAAAGGGAACCCGGGCCACCAGAAAGTTCAGTGACCGTTTTAAGTCCTCACGGCCAGTGACAGAGCCCAGATCTGCCTGTGACATCGTCTCTTGTTACCTTGGAACACTCCCCTCCAACCCACAGCCAAACACAGACCTCATGCAGCCTCCACATGAGACTGAGACGAGCCTGGCTTCACGCATGAAAAGGGCCAGGCCCTGCAGCCCAAGGATGTCCTAGAGATGCAAAGCCTTACACGGGCCCCTCTCCAGCGTCTGGGCCTCAGGATTCATTTGCACTCTCAAAGGCTGTTGAGGGTTCCCCAGATTTTTAATGTGGGTAATGTATATCAATATTTACCAGATTAGAAGTGAACATTTTGAAGTCCAGTAAATCATTTAAAATAATCGACCCCATTACATACCTTCATGTCATGTTGTGAAAAATAAATTTTACATATATAGGTAATATATATCTATATATATTTATATCAATATATATCAATGGTATCTACAGTCAGGCCTCCGGGACACTGTGTTAAAGGGCTGCAACACAGTGTGTTTCCTTGATTTGTGAGTGTTTAACAGCACTGTTGGAAGTGTTACCTGTGAACATTTTAGCTGTGATTGAGACATTCCACACTTAGTACATTTCCTGTGCCCTAGATTGTAAAGGTAATATATGCTCATAGCAAAGCATTCAAACAAAAGAGAGAACCATATGATTGAATTTAGGAGCTATCTCATAATACTGATTATTAAGTAACCAAAACAATAGTGTTACCTTTGTTGCATTGTCTCAAGGCCAAAATGGGTTGAAAATTGTGTTTGTGTACACAACGTTTTTTGCTTTTTTACAGGCAGAGTTAGACAGTGAGAGAGAGGGAGACAGAGAGAAAGTTCTTCCTTCCATTGGTTCCCCCTCCAGTTGGCCGCTATGGCTGGTGCTGTGCCGATCTGAAGGCAGGAGCCAGGTGCTTTCTCCTGGTCTCCCATGGGGTGCAGGGGCCCAAGCACTTGGACCATCCTCCACTGCACTCCTGGGCCACAGCAGAGAGCTCAACTGGAAGAGGAGCAGCCGGGACTAGAACCTGGCTTCCATATGGGATGCCAGCACCGCAGGTGGAGGATTAACCAAGTGAGCCACGGCGCTGGCCCTGTACACAACATTTAGAGGAATGAAAACCTTTTTAATTGTTAGCTGTGTTAATTTTAGATACCACTTACTGATCTCTTCTGTGGTAAAGTGCTTGTTCATGTTTTGCCCATTTTTCTTTTGGGTTGTCTGCCTTTCTTCAGTTGATTTGTAGGAGTGTATTTTTTTATTCCGGAGATGAGTCTTTTTGTCAGACCTGATATCTTGCTGATTCAGGGAAAATCCCAATTCCTCCATTTTTTATCCCATATAACCAGGATGAAAAATATGGTTGATGGAAAGATTAAATTAGATAAAAGAAGTCATCTTTGTTATAAACCATAGAGTGTTGTGTAAAAATGAATTTATATTATCCAGCCATTTTCTGGGCAAACAAGAATTTTAGATGCAGTTGCAGCTATCATTTTGTTCTCAGTATCTATACAGAAACTAAAAGTGAAGGGAGCGCTGTAAAATAATATTGAATAATGTTTTCTGATAAATTAAAAGAACCATTGCTGCAGAAATGCAAGATCGCACATTACACGTTGTCAGAACAGTCGTGCCCTAAATCAGATGCATGGTTATTCAGAGAGGCTGATTTTAAAAGAACATTCACTTAAATCAAACTGCACTCTCAACTGAAGTGCTCATTGGCCATCATGGTTCCGTGAGGGACTGCGGATATGTGGGTCTTGCAGAAGTGTCGTGCATGCAGGCAGCTGCGTTGACAGCTGCTAGCACTGGGCGATATGTTGCGTGGGGCCTCCCCTCACTCCACCTACTCTAGGAGGCAGTGGGAAAGAACATTGAAACCCACCGAAAGCAGGTCACTGCTAACAGAGGAGCTGGGGTGAAGCCCAAGGGCCTTGTGCTTGAGTGTCCTTTGCTCCTCTGTGCTGTCCTGCATGGTGTTGGCAGGCAGTAACAGGCAGGTGGCAACCTGAGCATCAGAGTTACTGAAAGCCTGCTTCGTGTAATTCATGCTCTGAAATTCAGACACTGAACTCCTAAAACCCAAGAGGGTATACTAAGTGGCAGGAGTCTTTGGGAGGTGGAGCCCTCATGAGCAGGATTAGTGTGTTTATCAGAGACCCCAGAGGACTCCCTTGACCTTTCCTGTGTGAGGACACAACAGAAAGATGGCCACCTACAAACCAGACAACTCTCACGAGAAACCTCAGTTCAAGTGCGCCAGCACCTTGATCTTCAGACTTTCTGCCCAGAACTGTGTAAAGTAAATCTCTGTTTATAAGCCTCCCAGTTGATGCCATTTTGTTAACACTAGGAGATGGAGCCTGCCTTGCTATGCCATCTCTGACCGTGCAGGGGCCCTGTTCAATGCTGTTTTCCACGGGGCTGCCCCCATTACTCATTCAGTGACTCCTTGTCCAAGGCTTTGGAACAGCACCCCCTCCCCTGCACGAACCTCAGTGATGACCAGGGCGACTTTCAGCCTGTGGGTGTTGAATCATGATTTTACAACGAGTTTAGGTGCTTCACAGGAGGCCGACTGCTCGAGTCTCAGTGGAAGACATTTTGGTGAAAGAGAAGAAAGCTTCCATTTTAGGGTGAGGAGCTGGGATTTGTGTCCAGGTGGACTCTGCTCAGTGGGAAAGCCCCTGCGTGCACTGCCCAGAATGTCTTTCTGCCTGAGGCCAGAGCGACAGGCATGGACAGATGTCCCTTTACCACATTTTCCATACTCTGAGACTCGTTCACATCTGCAGTTCTCTGCTTTCCTTTTGAGCTTAGAAAGTGATTTATTTATAAACCTGGAGACCAGGAAATTGAAAGCAGAGCTGAACTTGTGCCTGGATGCTTGGGGTGCTGTGTGCAAAAGAATGTCAGGAAGCAGAGAATAGGGTGCCTGTTCAGTGGGTGGGGCTGGAGCTGGGCATGGGAAGCAGGGGAGGGGAGACCACTCAGCCAGCTTTGGAAACAGTGCAGGGCAAGAGGTGGGCTTATTGGTCAGCAGATCCATGTCTTGCAGGAGAGGGGGCCCCTGCGGATCCATCCCTGCCTAGTTCCCAACATACTCCTTTGAGGTGAGGGAGGTGGTGATTTCTCCAGGAGCCATTTTACAGGTCAGGAAATTGAGGGATCTGAGGCCTGCAGCACTTGCTGCTAACTTAAAGGCAAGGGAGGCTGGAGCCAACCCTGGAAAGCAGGGCTCTCAGCAAAGGCTTAGGGCCGTGTGCACGGGTGCATGCATCGTGTTCCAAAATCATAGGTGTCGAAGTGAAGCCTCACCCTCTGGGTGAAATCTCTCTCCCCATCTTTCCTGAAGGGCCCTGATTCTTCTCCCGTGACCTTTGTCATTTGTAGTTATAGGCATCTCATTGTGTCATGGAGTCCCACCCTTTACGCTCATCCCCATGCATACACTTTATGCTCTACAAACTCAGGAGCAGTGTTCAGCTCTCGCTGTATGTGTTAGGCTGAAATAACGCTTGCAACCAGAAGTGCTCCATAAATGTTGAATGAATGAATGAATGAAAAGTTGCCTGGACTAGGGCTTATGCACTGCACCAGGGACTTTTTCCTGATCCTTTGTGCTGTGCAGGAGAAGGGTGCTCTGACTATTGGTGGTCAGAAAGCCCCCTGAGGAAGTGGAAAGAGGATCTGTATGTGTGTGTGTGTGCGTGTGTGTGTGTGTGTGTGTGTAGGGGCAGCATGTTGAACAGTGCAGGTAGGATGTGAGAGATTGTGTGCTCACTGGGGAGGGGAGGAATGAGACCCTTTCTGGGTATGGCAGCCTTTGGACTGCTTGGGGGGTTCTCCTTTTGGTGTCTTTGGGAATCCCCTTCCCTGGCATCCTCTACACTCAGGTAGTGGCTGACTGCTGCTGGCTGTTGGTTACAGTTTGAAACACTGTACCCTAGTCCCATGCTGTGGCACACGCAGAAATTCACTGTCACTCTAATGAGGTTTCCAGTAGAACATTGGAAAGGAGAAAGTCTTTTAATTAGATTGGTAGTAATTGAGTTCCCAAACCACAGAAGCCATTCTCTCTGAACAGGAAGACACAAATGCAATTAAAAGTGGAACCCTGGCTAATTTTATGTCCATTTAAAATAACTCCCTAGTAAGTTGAGGCAACAGATGTGCATCCTGAAGAGTTTAACAGCGCTTTCCAGTGATACTGGAGGTGGGTCTGGACCGGGGCTCATGCAGTCTAGATGGACGGCTCTATGGGGACATTGCTCCATGCAGAGCACAGAGGAATGTGAGCTCTGCAATGTTTTGCCACTAAACAATCCTGGCTTGTTTCATTTTGGAATACAGGATGCATTTCTTCCTTTAACCAAAAATGCAGCTTCTCCTGACAACAGCCCCCAGCCCTATACCCACTGGGACATCATCCTGTATCCCGCCCTAGGCAGCCCTGTCCTGTCTGTGGGTTTGTCTCACCCCTGCAGCGCCTAGCGTAGAAGCAGGGGCGCTGCTGCAGCACAGTATCCCTGCCAACTCCTCGTGTGTTGAACATATTTCTCTGCTAACGAGAGGCAGCAGTCATTCCCCTTTGCATCCCTGCCTGCTGACCACGCCTCGGCAGATGCCTGTGCTTTCTGCCCTTGAGTCCTTTGTTGTTGACTGCCCTTTGGAAAGGCTGGCCAAGTTCTTCCCATTACAGCAGCTTCTGAGAGTCACTAATGCATCCTTTCCCTGGAGGGGGCATCAGTGGCCAATTTACAAAGTCCTGGAAGTTGGAATTGACTATTAAATACTGATGCCAGTGTTCTAAGTAAAACTATTGTACAAAACTTGCTCATTTGTCCCTTTGTGCATTGCTTTTTTTTTTTTTTTTTTTTTCTGTTTTGCTAGGCCATGTTGGGCTATGTTCAGCCATGATGAAACACTTTCAAATCCCATTTGGAAAGGACAGTTTTGACTATACTTTGTTTTTTTAAAATTTTTTTTGACAGCAGAGTGGACAGTGAGAGAGAGAGAGAGACAAAGAGAAAGGTCTTCCTTTTCTGTTGGTTCACCCCACAATGGCCGCTGACGGCTGCAGCACGCCGGCCAGCGCACGGCGCTGATCCGAAGCCAGGAGCCAGGTGTCTCTCCTGGTCTCCCATGTGGGTGCAGGGCCCAAGGACTTGGGCCATCCTCCGTTGAACTCCCTGGCCACAGCAGAGAGCTGGACAGGAGGAGGAGCAACTGGCTCAGAATCCAGTGCCCTGACCGGCACTAGAACCTGGTGTGCCAGTGCCGCAGGCAGAGGATTAGCCTATTGACCTGCAGTGCCGGCCAACTGTACTCTTTTTGTGCTGCCTTGTGTCTGAGCCAAGCCACAGTGGAGAGGCTATCACAAGCTCCCTCATTAACACACAAACTCTGTGCCCATCTGGATCCCAAATGCGTATGGGGTTTTCAAAATGAGGAAAAATAGACTTGAGTCAGAAATAAGGCTCCTTCATAAAGTCATTTCACATTTCTTTTTTTTTAACATTTCTTTTTTTGAAAGGCAGAGTTAGAGAGATCTATCTTCCATCCGCTAGTTCGCTCCCCAAATGGCTGCAAAGGCTACTGCTGGGCCAGGCTGAAGCCAGGAGCTTCATCCAGGTCTCCCACCTGGGTGGCAGGGAGAGGTCCAAGTACTTGGGCCATCTTGTGCTGCTTTCCCAGGTGCATTTTCAGGGAGCAGGATCAGAAGTGGAGCAGATAGAACTCTAACTGGTACTCACATGGGATACTGGCATTGAAGGTGGCAGCTGAACCTGCTGTGCCACTGGCTCCATCTCACTGACCTTGTTTACTCACCTGGATAGCATTTACTTTGCAGATGTGTGCCAAGGGCCTGCCTTGCTGTATGGTAAGTGGAGGATAAGAGAAAAACCCTGCCAGGACCCCCAGGGACAAGGCCAAATAGTGCAGTGGCAGCATGCTCAGCATAGGCGTGTCAGCTTGACACAGGTCCCTGTCCCCTTTCCTGCAAATTCATATTTGTTTAAAAGTGCTTAAATTCTGATAATAGATATGGCTTTAAAAATTAGAATTTTCACTCATTTTTTGGGTTTTATTAAGTTTATGAATTATAAAATTATACAAAGATAAATAGCCAGGTCATTAGCAGGCATCATTTCTGAATGGTGGCATTGCAGGATTTTAATTTTTTTCTTTGTTCTCTTCTGTTTTTTGTAAGTGCTCTATAATAAATGTGTATTACTTCAGAATAAATAGGAAAGCTCAACTCTGGGGAAATGCTGCTTGCGTGTGTTTGGGAGCGCTTGGCGCATTCTAATTTCCACACACAACAATGATCCCAACAGTCAGATTCCTATGTGAATAACGAATCATTTCTTTTGTAAACCATATTGATGCTGCTGTCTTTGTTCTTTTTTTTAAGGATGAGAAGAACCAAGTTTTAACTACCAATATTTGGCTGCAAATGGTAAGTGAAGGCAGCAGCAGGTGCGTTCTGCGTCTACCTTCTCTCGCTTCCTCGGTGCTTGCGCTGGATTTGCAGGGAAAGCAGAGGCCGCTTGAGAAGCCAGGCTGTCACCAAGACTCTACCTGCTAGCAGTGAATGTTAGTATATTGCACTGCAGTCTGTTAATTGCTAATTGACAGAGTCCTTTAGGCTGAGATTGAGTATTAAATACTGAGTAACAGCGGGACTCCAGGCACCTTGTACTGTATTACAAGGTGATTTGAGGACATTTCAAAAGCCCTTCAGGCCATGCAAGTGATGAAAGGCAGAGTTGCTTTTAAATATTCACAGCGTGCACTGTGTCCAGTCCCCAGGGCTCAGGAACACCTGCCCTGGCCTCTGCACCCTCCAGAGCTGCATGTTTGAATCAGTTGGAGGATCCCTAAGCCAGAAATCTCGCTCTGCTCGGTGACCCCCACAAGAATTGCTGTATTCCATTCCTGAACATCTAACTTGATATCAGCAATTCTAACCTAAATTTGATTCCTTCCAAGTCCTGTCACTTTCATCAAATGGTAAAACTTGACACTTAAAAATAAAGCTCTATTTTAAAAAGTGGACTATAAATACCATGACACTAAACTATAAACAAGCCCCTCTTTAACTGCCAGATATTTTACTTAAACTTTTTCTCTTTGTGCCTGAATTTTTCAACTTTCCACCCAGAATTTTATCTTAATGTAGTATAACTTTATATCTGAAAGACTTTTATTAATAATTGTGTCTTGTTTTTTCTCAAATTTAAATACTTATGTGAAAGTTATTCCTTCGGGTCTTAAATGTTAATTATTTTCTTTTGGATTGATTAAAATCATTCATAGATAATTCATCAAGGTGACCGCAGTTGAAAATTTTAATAAATATTTATTGAACATAAAATGTTTTCCTAGAAATTTGTGTCTGTGCCAGTATGGCACAATGAGTTTGTATATCCACAGATGACTACTTTTTTTTTTCTAGAAATGAGAGAATGATACAGTTTTTATCCTCAGATCTATAGCTGCTTTTAAATAGATGTGGGCACATGGGTATGTGGTGATAAAAGATGTTCTGTTCAAGCAATGTTATTCGATTCTCTGAATACCCCCCAGATTGTATGCCAAAAATAATGTTATTTTCATCAAATGTATCAGCTGACACTTTAAGTTCCCCTTCAGTTTAGTTGAAAGCAAAAAAATAACATAATTATAACCCATCTAATTTTTGAAAGTATTTGTCCCCCAACTTTTTTTTAAAGATTTTTAAAATTTAGTTGAAAGGCAGAGTTACAGAGAGGCAGAGGCAGAGAGAGAGAGAGAGAGAGAGAGAGGTATTCCATCCATTGGTTCATTCCCCAAATGGCTGCAACAGCTGGAACTGAGCCAATCCGAAGCCAGGAGCCAGGAGGCTTTTCCTGGTTTCCCACGTGGGGGGTGGGGGGGCAGGGGCCCAAGCACTTGGGCCATCTTCCACTGCTTTCCCAGGCCACAGCAGAGAGCTGGATCAGAAGTGGAGCAGCTGGGACTCAAACTGGTGCCTATATAGGATGCCAGCACTGCAGGTGGCAGCTTTACCCACTACACCACAGAGCTGGCTTCATACCCAAATTTTAAGTTAATTCGTACAGACACTGATGTTTTAAAAGAACCCTTTGTTTAGTTCTTGGGCCAGTGACCCAAGGTGAGAGGTGAGATTAGGTAAGGGAAATGTGCCCTTCTTTGAGGAGTGGAGTCGGGGAAATCAAGGTGGGGGCAGATGATAATACCAGGTGGTTCCCCACCAGGTGAGTTGTCGTGGGACACATGTCAAGTTGAGGGATAGGAAACAATTCACTTACTGCCATCTGCTCAATGTCCCAAGGGTGCCCTTAGCTATGCTTGAGACCCCTTGCAGAAGCTCCTGTAATGAATAAGATGGAAATCTTTGGCAGTTTTCCCTGCAGGATTTAACACAACATTCTGAGCACATCCTGCCTCACCTGTGTCCTCCTCCAGCTTCCCTTGCCACCCCATCCATAATCCATGTGCCTCTGGAAAACCAGCTCTTCCTCCAGTGGACTCATCCCACTTCCTGCCACCTGCTGAGAGCCTCACTTTGGTTGTCACCACTGCCTCTAGCCTCATACTTCTTCTCATTCTTGACCATTCCATAGTCTTCTCATTTGGGTAAATCACAATCCCGTTTTCCTAGACAATAAAATAATACTTAGAATCACCCTTAACTCTTATCTTTTACACCTCACATATGATCCATCAACAAATTCTGGCAGTTGTCTTTCAAAATCCAGGATTGGGGCCTTCGCTGTGCTGTGGTGGATGAAGCTCCCGCCTGTGGTACTGGCGTCCCTTGTGGGTGCCAGTTCAAGTCTTGGCTGCTCCACTTTGAATCTAGTTCTCTGTTATGGCCTGGGGAAGCAGTAGAAGATGACCCAGGTCCTTGGGCCCCTGCACCCGTGTGGGAGACCATGAGGAAGCTCCTGGCTCCTGGCTTCAGATCAGCGCAGCTCTGGCTGTTGTGGCCATTTGGGGAATGAACCAGTGGATGGAGGACTTTCTCTCTCTCTCTCTCTCTCTCTCTCTCTCTCTGCCTCTCTGTAACTCTGCCTTTTAAATAAATAAATAAGTCTTTTAAAAAAAAATCAAAATCCAGGATCCAACCACTGTGACTCAATCCTGTTACTTCCACTGTGGTCTGCCCTGCTGTCATCTCACTCCTCTTGCTACGGAGTCTCCTGGCCAGTGTTCCTGCCTCAGCTGTTGCCCCTGCTGGGTGTCTGTTCTCAGCATAGCAGCCAATGTGATCTTAGTAGGATAAAAATTGAGGTTCAGTCACACGGCCTTTTCACTGAGGGGGCTCCTGTCTCGCAAGAACTGAAATCCTTGAGGTTGCCTTTGATTTCCTCCTTGCCTGTCTGCTCCGTCCTCTCCTGTTGGCCCCCCTCCCACAATCGCTGTACTGTTCTCTCTGCTCTCTTGATGTTGGTGATGCACAGGTCATGCAAGCACATGCCTATGTTGGGACCTTTGTGCTTGCCACTCCCCCTTCCTGGAAGGAACCACTGGATTTGCTTCCTCACTTCCTGCTGGTCTCATACCACAGATAGTAACCTTTCTGGTGAGGTCTTCCCTCAGTGTCTGTGTACTCTCCCAGATCCTCCCTGCTACTTCCAGCCACTCTGTTCTCTTTACTGTGCTTCATATTTTTTGCCCCAAAAGCGCTTCTCACCATCTGACATACTTTGTATACACGTACGTATTTCTGCCTTGGCTCTGCGTCTTTCTGTTGCTTGCTTGTGTGCAGCAGGAGGGCAGAGCTTATTGGATTTGTTCTTTGCCATACGCCCAGCTTCTTTCTCTCTGCCACAACTGCAGGAGGCAATGAGTAAGTTTCTGGAATGAATGCATGGGAAAAAATACTCAAGGTTAACCCAAGAGGGGCCAAGATATTATATATAGAAGAAAGCCAACTCCTGCATAACACAGGCACATTTTAGTGTAAGATTCGGCTCTGGGAGCTCTGGGGAAGATGCTCATGATTCTCTTTTTACTTAAAATTGGTTATTTCTCCCAATTTACCCGTAACAGAGGTGCTGCAGAAAAGTGTGTGTCATCACAGGTCTTCACTTTTGTTGTCTACCTACCTTAGCTCTCAGTAGTGATTGGTTTTCAGCAATGAATATGACTTGAACATTGTTAAGGGTGTGTTGGTTTCCAGGAAAAATAGACCTGGATTTTTTACGCTATTGAGTTCAGGTGCTCCTAAATAAACATCTTTGCTTCAAGAATGTCACCTGAGGCCTCTAATGTGTTTCAAACACAGCTTATTTCTAATTAGGATTTACATTTACAGAAGCATCTACAACCTCAGTTGTTTGAAAATTTGTCTTTTCATCTCATTTTCCCATTCAGCTCATCTTTTGGTGCACCTGCTATTTCGAGGTTTTCAAATGAGGCCATGTGAGGGCACTGAGAGGCCTATGAGACCAGGTTTCTACTTCAAAGCTATTTATAGTCAGACTGTGTAATTAATACATAGAAGAAAAAGTTAACATAGCTAGATCAAGAAACTGAGTATTTCCCTAGAGAATTTTGCAGGGGACAGGCAGGTGATTGGACAGTAGAGGTCAAAGGTTACAGAAATGGGAGAGGGGGCAAACACAGAGATTTCTGAATTGGGAAATCTGGGGGCTCTGGTGTGGCCAAGTCGCTAGTTAATACTCCTCTTCAGGTGTCTAGCAAATGGAAGGCATGCCAGATTCCCTCTTAGTGTGTGCCCTTCTAAAAGCTGGGTGATGTCCTACATCTGGGAAGTGGCTCCTGTCAATAATGTTGCAGGCGCAGCACTGTCTCCCAACTGAATGTTGAATGAATTACAAGGATTTTAGAATTAAATTTATTAGATTTAAAACAAACCCTAACATTATCTAAAACCAATCTTGTGCTACTGTGCCTGCTATTCCTGCTTGGCAGATCAGTCTGGAAGCCCTGGCACCAGCATGGTCATGGGGAACACAGGGCTCACCAAGGGCAGCCTGGAAGCTACTCTGGGGCCATAGCTAAACAGCTGTCTATTGATTCCTGGCCTTGTGTTTTCTGGCCAGTGATTAGCTTGGCCTGACCCAGTCTGAATAATAGGTATTTACAAGAAGCGAAGCTTAGTTTGGAAGCTAACAGGGTCAGAGTTCTGAAGGAAACCAGAAAGGTGGGCAGGAGGTCAAGATACAGCCACAGAAATAACCCCCAGCCGTGGCTTCTTTCCTAGTTTCATGTTGCTCAGTGCCTGTGCTGAAAAGCTGAATCCACATCATTTCTCTAGGGCTTTTGCCCTCTGAGATCCATTTTCTGCAAATGATCAACTTCCTAACCACTTAGAATGGAAGAAGCAGTAAAAAGAAAAAAAAATAGGCAAATAAACTTCTGGTTGAGCTACAGTTTGATTTCATTTCCTTTCCCCCAGTTGCCTTGGGTTTTGCATGACTGTCAGATTGCTTGGATAGCCAGGAGGAGGAAAAAGCTGCTGATCTCTGTGCACCTTTCTGCCCCTGGGAGGAAGTGGTTAGCATGTTTTCTCTGCAGATGAGTCTCATGGCTTTGGGAGGCTTGTCAGGCACAATCTGATTCCATCTGGGGCAAGAAAGGATGGAAACCTTTTCAGTTTCTGAAGGGACATTTGAGCCATTAAGCAACTTGCATTCACATTTTAAAGATCTTTATTTTCATATCTCCACTGTTCTTCTGGCTTTAGATTTTTTAGCCCTGTTTTGTTTCTTTTTAACCTCTAATTTTCATTGTGGTACCAATAGCATTAGCATCATAGAAGGTTAGATTATAACTCAGTTATTTCTAACATGTTGGCCTTGTCATTTCTGCCATTCCTTGATACTTCATCTCTGACACACGGAAGTGCCCCTTATGCTCATGGATAAGCCCTCCAGTGGCTTGCTTAGGGCCATAATAGCACCACAAGCGCAGGGGGATGTTACATTCATTGTGCCTCACTGATGGAAAAGGCGGGGTGGTGAAGGAGCCCCACTTTTCTCCTCTGAGATCAAAATTGTTGACTAAGAATTTTCCAAAAATAAGTATGTGTGATATTTCTGCTACCTTCAATGAATGCCAAGTAATAATTCTCCAACATCAGCTGGTTGTTCAACAATTCAATTTCCTGGTAGCGGGTGTGGGGTTTTAGTGACAGGCAGAGTGGACAGTGAGAGAGAGAGACAGAGAGAAAGGTCTTCCTTTTGCCGTTGGTTCACCCTCCAATGGCCGCCGCTGCAGCCGGCGCACCGCGCTGATCCTGGCAGGAGCCAGGAGCCAGGTGCTTTTCCTGGTCTCCCATGGGGTGCAGGGCCCAAGCACCTGGGCCATCCTCCACTGCACTCCCTGGCCATAGCAGAGAGCTGGCCTGGAAGAGGGGCGACCGGGACAGAATCCGGCGCCCCAACCGGGACTAGAACCCGGTGTGCCGGCGCCGCAAGGTGGAGGATTAGCCTATTGAGCCACGGCGCCGGCCCAACAATTCAATTTCGTTCTGACAGTTTCTTCTTGGCAGTAGCATCAGACCCCAGAAGTTCACAGTCTCAGTTCCACCGCCCTGTCTGTACTGCAGACACCAGGTGCCCAGGGGGACATACTTTTACCTGACTACAAATTCAGGGTTTCTTATGACTCCTTGTTCTCCACGTTCAATAATTTTCTACAAAGGTTCATAGAACCGTGGAAGATACTTTACTTCTGTTTACTGGTTTATTCTGCAGGATGCAGCTCAGAACAGCCGCATGGAAGAGGCCTACAGGGCAGGGGATCAGCATAGAGCTTCCGTGTCCTCAGCAGCGGCAGGGTCCTCTCAGAACCTCCCTTACCTGCTGGGAGGCTCTCTCCACCTCATGTTCAAGAGCTTTTACAACCCAGCCTCCAACCCCACTGTCCCTCTCGGGAGAGAGCGGTAGAGTGGGCTGAGAGTCCCCCTACCCTAATCTCCTGGCCAGTCCTTCTGTTTACCAGACACCCATCTTGATGTTATCCAGGAGCCTAACCATAAATTGCGTTATTAGCATAAACTCAGATGTGGTCCGAAGGGCTATTTATAACTAACAGGAGGCACTCCTGTTCTTAAAGTTCACAGGGCTTAAGGAGCTCTGTGCCACAAAGACCACATACGTTTTTTTGTTGCACCTTGTGTGTGTGTGTGTGTGTGTGTGTGTGTGTTTTAAGCAAAGACTTTCCTTTTCCTCCCTCCCAGCCCATGCACAAGAGAGTGAACACACACATTTTTAAAATTTTCATTTTATTTGAAAAGAGACTAAGAGACTTCCCATCTGGTAGTTCACTCCCCAGCACCTGCAACAGCCAGGACTGGGCTAGGTTGAGCAAGGAGCCCAGAACTCAGTCCTGTCTCCCATGTGAGCGCCAGGGACCCAAGTACTTGAGCTGTCACCGGCTGCCTCTTGGGGTGCCCATTATCAGGAATCTAGAATCAGAATCAGAGCTGGAACTTGAACCCAGGCACCCTGAAATGGGTTCTGAACATCCCAGGTGGTATGTTAATTGTTTTGCCAAACTTGCTGCTTACATGATCTCATTGTTTTTTCTTACAAGACTGCTTACTGTAAGGGTAGGTGATACAAAGAAACTACAGCTTGGAGAGGGTGATTCACCTGCTCAAGCTCACACAGCAAGTCTCTCCCAGAACTTTAAATCCAGGTCTGTCTCATTCCAAAGCTCCCTGCATTCTTCCCCTTTTCTCTCCGGAGGGTCAGCTTGGCTTTTGAGTAAGAGAAAATAGTGTGAGCAGATGGACAGTACCTTCAGGGACATAGTGTAGCCCATTCAGTCATGGTGGGAGATCAGCTGGTGCAGAGATCTTGTTTGAAGAATCTGTTCTGATGGAGCCCAAAGACCACTTTGCTTAAAGTCACATGATACAACTGAGTGACTAACTAAAAACATGGTGCTCTCTGAGCCTCAGTCTTCTAAGGAATAGGAACAGTCATCACAGCACCCCTGGGGTATGGTGAGTTTGGGCATCTGCACAACACTGAGTGAGCAGAATGGCCCTGTTGCCACCTGGCCAGAGTCTAAGCCAGCAGGGCACACAGAGCTGGGCATGTGCACGAGACAGGAGGAGGTGTGGGTGTTGGGAGGCAGCGTGCAGCTCCAATGGGCGACCATTAGACAGGTCTGCATTGGCATAGGTACACTCCCACTCCCATTTCTGTCATCATTTCAGCAGATAAGGGAGATCGGTGTGACCCCTTGATGCCCAATTTCAAGGGCAGTTTGTGGAACCCTGAGCCCTGATTACCATGGTAATCAGCAGTGACCAATGCAGAGAAGCATCCCAAGGGAGATACAGGGCAGTGGTAAAGAAAGCACAGGTGCTCCTATGAAAGGGCTTTGTGTCAGAATGAGGGAGAGGGTAAGGGGGGGCGGGGTCACAGAGCCTGGGGTGCCAAAGCTGAGCATGCTATTATAAACACAGTCTGGTGAAAACAACTTGAACAAAAGACTCCTTCTCCCTCCTGCTACTCCTATCTAATTAGGAACCTCAGCAGGGCAGGTCTCAGTCTTCCATGTCCCAGATGGTACTTCTACACGTTGTCTACTAACATATCCTTTCTCTCCAAGGTCCCTGGTTTTAAAAATGAAGCTGCTCACCTGGGTGCCCCTTCTTGTTTGACTTTTAATAGTTTCAGACCTTACTTAACTCTGGATGCTGTTCTCCCCAGAGGATGCCAGAGCCCTGGGCCCTGCCCATGGACCCCTTGCCTCTAGGCTCAAAAGTCCTAGACCTACAACCTTTTGTCGGTAATTCCTGAATCTCAACAATCAGCAATCTGAAATGTTGTTTATGCCTTTGATGTTGTTTTTGCAACTTTGCTTTGAACTCATTTGGTCTAAAATTAAATTGAAATAGATGTAATTGAAGCATTTATTTGTAACTGTATATTTTGCTGCAAAAAATACCAATATGATTGGTTCTGGGGAGCCACTGTGGTCCTAGCCTAGAGTGTCATGTCATGGAATTTTCCAAATCGTGGAAAGTCTGAGCTCCAGAGCATAGATGGTCTCAGGGGACTGGACACGGGCTGGAAGCCTGATTATGCTGCCCTTGCAGGTTGAGTCTAAACCACTAGCCTTGAGATGCCAGCCAGGCTAGCTGAGCTGCCCCACAGAGCTGGTGGTCCCGGAAATGAGGACCCCAAGCCCAGGGGAACCCATATCAGAGGCTGACCCTGACTTGGGGGTTCATGATTACTTGCTGAGTCCTCACGTGCACCCTTGTCTCTGATTCCTTGGTTTTCTGACACTGAGGCTATGTTTGGGTTGTGAGGCGGTGGTATTCAAAACACTATCCCTACATCAAAGAATTCAAATCTAAAAATGTCCCTTAGGTTGCTGAGAGGCTCCCATGCAGCTGCATAATATTGTTTTCTGGAAATAAATATTTTGTGATTCTGCAGCCTATTTCATATACCGATTGAAATAATTTAATTTATCTTTTCAAAGTATCCCTACAATGAAGACTTGGAAAGTAGAATAGTTATTCATTTGGCTAGAAGTCCCCCCATCTGCTGCAGGAGGAGAAGGCTTAGGGGCATGCAGGGCGTTGGAATTCGCTTTAATGCTGTCATCTGAAGTGGCCACAGTGGACAGCAGGACCTTAAATGCGATTTTTATGCTATTCATGGTCATTTTGAAAGGGATTATCTAATTCCAAGTTTCCTTATCTCATACAGATAGCAACTCAGTTATGTAAATAACTTTCTGGCTTTGAACTTACCCAGTAATCTCTTATAAGAAATATTAGTAGGCAAGGAAGCAATATGCTGCTAATGTCATTGTGTGTGTCAGTCTTGGACAGATCACTATTTGCAATGGAATATGTCAGAATACCCGGGCGTGAAGACGGTTCGTTTCCCTGATGGCCAGATTTGGAAACCAGACATTCTTCTGTACAACAGGTAAGCCCTGGGGACGAAGGGAAAATGATGAATGCTTGCATATGAGCAGCAATCAAGCAGGTGTGAATATTGTGCAGAAAAGCTGGATACATTAACGTGGGGACATTGCTTCTCATGAGGCTCTCTTTGTAGCCAGGCCTTGAAAAGCAGCTCTGCTTCGTCTGCTTGTACTCTGTGTGTTGCCCAACCTGCTAAGATGATCATATCTGTGTATGTTAAGTGCATAGCATTGTTTCCTTGTGTGTGTTGACACACACATTCTTGCTAAGGCATCATCTTTGCTTCCTGAATAGCAGCAGTTAGGATCAACAGCAGAAAGTGTGTCCTGTGGGATACACACCTGGAACCCACGGTTTGCACCTAGGTCCTTACTGATTCACTTCTCACTGGGATTTGGAAGAGTTCTGCCACAAAGATGGCTGAGGGCAGGAGGACTGCCGTCTCTACCTATACGTAGAAACTTGTGAATTTGTGTATGGAACAACAACAAAAGGTAGTTAAAAAGGCAATTCTGATAGTCATTCTCCTGAGGACAAGAGATCAGAGATTCATCAGTAAGCCAAGAGGCAGACCAGATGCCCAACAGTCAGGTATCCAGGGTGAGTGAATTTCTTGAAGCACTAAAACTCTTTTTTTTTTTTTTTTTTTTTTGACAGGCAGAGTGGACAGTGAGAGAGAGAGACAGAGAGAAAGGTCTTCCTTTGCCGTTGGTTCACCCTCCAATGGCCGCCGCGGCCGGCGCGCTGCGGCCTGTGCACCGCGCTGATCCGATGGCAGGAGCCAGGAGCCAGGTGCTTTTCCTGGTCTCCCATGGGGTGCAGGGCCCAAGCACCTGGGTCATCCTCCACTGCACTCCCTGGCCACAGCAGAGAGCTGGCCTGGAAGAGGGGCAACCGGGACAGAACCCGGCGCCCCAACCGGGACTAGAACCCGGTGTGCTGGCGCCGCTAGGCGGAGGATTAGCCTAGTGAGCCGTGGCCCCGGCCTAAAACTCTTTATTAAAACAGATTGTCAAATAAAACAAGCTAGAACTTCTCTTCCCCATAAGTTCTATGTTACGATAACCAGGTTAATGATGACTGCAGCGGTTGGTTCCAGGTGGAAGGAGAAGGGAACTGGGACTTTCCTGGTGCAGGGAACAGTGAAACCATTAGAACAAGATGGTAAGACAGTTTTACAGTTCCCGGTGTAGCTTTTTTCGACTGAAATCACAAACAGATTTTATAATATGGTAGAATTAATAATGGGTTTTATGTCTTATATGTGGGACTGTTAACTCTGATACGGAGCTTGATGATTCCAGTGTTCTGGCTAATGGAGAGTTACCAAGTTGTGAGTGAATTCCAAGGAGCAAAGAAGAGGCAGTATCTGCCTGTCAGGTGTCACCAGGGACCAGGCCTTCGGGAATAATCTGGCCCCTCCCATGCATAACCTAACTGATGGCCCAGAGCCCTTGTCCTTTCACCTCTCCCCTTGGGCTCTGCTGAATGATTTTCCGCTTTCCTCTTCTCCCCCTGTGCCTGTTGACCACACCTGCAGACTGTCCTGGAACCCGTTGAAGCTTTCTTGGTTTCTGCTCTAGTTTTTCCTAAGAAATGGCATGTGGGACTTCTTCCTGAAGTAACGGCTAAATGTATGGCTTTCACGTCTGCGGTGTGGAATAAGCAGTTACTGAGACTCCTCGGGCCAGTCACAGATGTGGTGTCAGTTACCTACTGAAGCAGAACCAACAACCCCAAACTCAGTGCCTTTGCAAAAATACAGCCCTTTCCTCACAGTGCTGTGGGATCACCAGCTCTCGTGTCTCTTTGTCTGTTCCACGTGGATGCTGGCTGTGGGCTGTGCTACCTTGGTCTTCTTCCTTGGGCCCTATCCAGGATGTGTTCTGAGAGGAAAGAAGAGGGGACATGCAGGTCTCTTGTGGACTAAGTGTGGAGTAGAAATCCCTGAATGGCCATTCCCCTCATTCTGTTGGTCAGATTGGGCAGGAGTGTAGCCTGGCTTCAAGAGGGTTGGGGATCAGCCCCACCTCTACAACATGCGGGGAGGGCAAGAAATGAAGGTGACCTCTGGGGAGACTTAGCTGCCACCTGCTAAGAAAGTACTGTGGTGAAGCTGCACAGACCACATGAAAGGCTTGGGGTGGGGGAGGGGGTCAAAGAGACCAGAATAAGCTAACACTGGGAAGGAAGCCGCTCAAAGGAGCTCCCAGCTAAGGGCATTTCACAGGTGCCAACAAGAGAGGACAGCGAGGTGGATTCCAAACACAGATGAGTTGTGTTATCCCCCACCTCTGCTGGCCATCTTCGTCTTCCCTTTGCTGTCTGGGCATCCTGCACAACCCAGGTGTGTGCACCTGCCTGTTCCTTTCCAGTAGCCTTGTCTACACCCGCCTCTCTCCAGCGTGAATTTTTCTCATACGGCACATTCACACGAGCTTCCTTCTAGGCCTTCTCTCATCCCTCTGCTTCAGCTCTGCTCAACTCCCAGTCCCCCAGGGTACCCTTCCTGATTCCCCCAGCCACCCCACGTCTAGGACATGCATCTCTGCCACCCTGTCATAGAAAGGGGTTCCTGTTCCCTGCTCACCTAGGGCCGGCCACCTCTCAGAGGCATTTAGCAGAGCACTCAAAACACATTTGTACGGACAAGATTGGAGGGGGAGGGGTTGCAGGAATTACTAGGAGGAAGAGTGAAGAGGATGGACCAGCATGATACAGTGCTGCTAAGAACAGCAAGAGAAGAAAGGAAAGGAACTCAGTTGTATTTGCAGCCTAGGAAACATTAAACAAAAATTGGCACAGGAAGTAGCAAAGATAGGCTTGACTTTAGTAATATCCTGACTTTCTGATACTCTGTTATTGGGGATTTTGAGAGATGCTGAGCTTAATTCTTTCTGCCAGCTTCCAGCACTCAATATGTTCTGTGCAGCAGAAGAATCTATTGGTTCGTTAATGGATGGGGGTGTTGAGGCTTTTTCTTAAGGAGGGGGTTAAAATGCCATCGCTCTGTGGAAGTCACGGTTTGTAAAGGGGCATTGATTTACTCGGGTGAAGCTCGCAAACGTGACTGCCATATTTCTCGCTCTGTTCCAATTTGATATTGGCAACCACACGTGAGTCACTAATGGCTTTTGAGCCATAATGCATTTTCTGTGCTCCGAGGAGGCTGGGTCACTGCAAAATAGCTATCTCTGCATCATTTCTGGAATGGGCTGCTTTATTTCTGTGATGGATGGAGAGCCAGCAGTGGTGCTGTTGGCCAATTGGCCGGGTCCTCTGAGCAGAGGATGGCCGCTAGGAAACACCTCTGCCTGGGGCTGATCCCAGTATTTCTTCTTGGCTTCGTTCACCTCACCTGAAGCTTTCAGTTCAAGGGTTTTTCTGAACACAGTCTTGCTCAAAGTGAGTAGCAATTATGAATTACTTGACATGATTTCCCCCTTTGGGTGGAATTAGAGGCCTTGCTGGTGTCGGCAGTCAGTCACTCCTCTCCTGGGTGACAGTAGGTTATGGCATCAGCCCTTCTAGGCTTCCCCAGTTTTGAGTAGCTTGGCCAGAAAATTCTGTAGCAGTTATGGAAATCTTTTATGATCAATATCTATCTTTATTTTAAAGATTATTTATTTTAAATTTATTTATTTATTTGAAAGGCAGAGTTACAGAGAGGCAGAGACAGGGAGAGAAAGAGGTCTTCATCTGCTGGTTCACTCCCCATTGGCAGCAATGGCCGGAGCTGTGCCAATCCAAAGCCAGGAGTCAGGAGCCTCTTCTGGGTCTCCCACACGGGTGCAGGAGCCCAAGAACTTGAACCATCTTCTTCTGCTTTCCCAGGCCATAACAGAGAGCCGCATTGGAAGTGGAGCAGCCATGACTCGAACTGGTACCCATATGGGATGCTGGCGCTGTAGGCGGTGGCTTTACCTGCTACGCCACAGCATCCACTCCTCTGATGAATATCTTTAAAGATGTTTTTGTTGTCTCTGTAGTTTTAGGTTAGCACGGAGTGTCAACTATTTCCGTTTCACTGACTGTGCAAAGATATATTTGTGCATCCTACAGACTGGTGTCTTTCACACTGTCCCATCACCCTGTGGCTGGTGCCAGAGCCTGGGAGTGGACAGTGAGATCCAGGCTGGATGGGCTCGTGATTGTACAGATTAGTGCTTGCCAGTGGCATAGAGTTTATTTCCTTACCAGGTATCATAGGCTCCTCTAGAAGCCAACCCAAGTCAAGGATTTCAGTGCATATCGTTAATTTGGGGGAACAATGTGGGGAAGTGGAACAGCGAAGAAAGGGAAGCCAATAGGGGGTGCACTGAAGTATAAGCTACTGTTGTGGACGTTTGGGACCCATTTCCACCTCTGGGAGACCTTTGAGCTGTGCTGAAGAAACTGGAGTGTGTACCTGCCAGCTGCCTCCACTTCTAGACTGAGAGCTACTTCCGGAGCAGTCAGCTTCCTGGCCCTTCTGACCTGCTGCCCCATGTGTGGCCTGAGCATGCTGTGGTAGCTGGAGCCTTGAACAGGGTTGCAGTGCTTGGAGGGGCGGCTGGGCATGGCCACAGAATGGTGATTGTTGCCCTGCTGTGCTCCAGTGCAGTCAAGCCATATGATCACACTTGAATCATTTTCATCCTGAAGTTCTTCTTGGCACAGCAGCAAGGTGAGGGTAGGGAGAGTGTCCTTGGGTTCAGCATGGGGGTGTTCCCAGCCAGAACAGAGGAGGAGGCAGAGTAGTTAGCTAAAGGAACTGGGCTGAAGGAGCTCCTAAGCCTGTCTGCTGGTGAGTGGCACCTGTTCCACTGAGAGCTGTGATGTGCTTCTTGTGATATCACACGGCTCTACATGAGGAATGGGATGTTAGGTTCTGAAAGCTGTTGACTCTGTGTTGTCACAGCTACTGGCTCCTGAGTCATGGTGTCCTGGGCCTCACAAAGGCCAGTAATGCAGTCATCACTGGGCATGGTGGAAGGTGGCTTGAGGCTGTCGCTGAAAGAT